TAGAAGAAAAAACAGTGATCTTATCCAAGTTTACAGAGTCCTAAACAAACATGATACTATCAATTTGCATTGTGAGCCAGTAGTATTGAGTAGGTTAACTAGATGGCACAACCAAAAGTTGAGAAAGCAGTATGTTTAATACTTTTTGCCGAGGCATCATTTCTTCACTTCGTATAATTGAAAATTATAATAGTTAGGACAGTGAAGTTTTCAATACTAATTCAGTGACTGAATTAGTATTGACAAAAAACTGAAAAAAAAACTTAAATAAAGAACTAAAAAGCAGCTGTTAAAATTTAACATCAATATACAATATGAAACTATGAATAAAAGATAGAAAGAGTCTAAAATAATTAAAGAAATAAAAAATAAAGTAAAAAAAGTAAAGCAATATTAAATAAAAATAATATAAATAATAATTGCAATTGTAATAATATACTGAAAATTACAATAATATTAATAAGAAAATGAATAAATAAACATTACAAATAGTAGCTGTAGAATGATAATTTTAAAAAATATATATCTAATAATAAAAACTATGGTAAAAATAATTAAAGTAAAGTTAAAACTATGAGAAAAATTATAAAAATAAACATAACATTTGCAAAAATATGACAATAACCATAAAACTATTACAACAATGAAATGATTATTACTATCATTATAAATAGTATTAATAAGGCTTCTTGAACAAAGATGAATTAATGCTAAAAGTAATAATGAGTTAATGATAAAAGTAGTAATAAAGTTAAAAAAAGATGATAATATAGATTAAAAGTAAATACAGTTTTATAAACACAGTAATATAAAAAAACAATAATAAAAGATAAAAATAATATTCATTAAATGTATATTTAAATAAAAGTTTCATTATTTGGTTTTGATTGAGAAGAAAAATGTTGGTAATAAGAAAGCATTTATTTAAAATTATATTTATAAATAGTATTATTTGGTTCCGGTGAGACATACATTGATATTTTAAAGAGAGGTTGCCTTATTCGATAATGTTTAAAAAGATCGTGTGCAAGTTAAAATTTTTAGTATTTCGAGAGTAATATTTGTGTATGTCATTTGTTTTAAAAAAGAAAAAAAACTATTTGGTAGTTTATTTCGAAGAAATTAAACTCAAATAGAAAATAAAACACTAATCTTTCCAATGTCTTAAAATTTTAGAAATTTCAATTCGAAAAACCTATTTTGGATTTTAGATCGTAAAAAATAAAATGTCATAAATCTTATTAAAAATCTCACTTAAACGACACTTACCTCACAGAGACAAACACTGAAAGATATTTCCCTTTGAGTTTCACTACTCAACACTGGACATCTGTCCGAATATGGTAATTTATCTAGCACTCTCTAGCACTTAGTTAAAATATATCTTTTCTTCTCTCAGAACTACAACGGCCTGATGTGTTCCAAATAAGTGGTGGAACTTTAATAACTTCCACTGCGAAACAATAGCAATGCGTTGATAACTGTTTATTTGATTTAATAAAAAATTACCTTTTTGACCCCAAACAGTGCAACAATATCTTAGATGGGAGGAGAAAAAGGAATAGCAAATTGATATCAGAATACGTTGGGGAACATTCATATTAATGAAAACTTACTATTGTTACTTGATAGTTTTTTTATTTGTTTGAAGTTATTGATACTACCATAATAAGTTTTTGTCAAGAAATATCCAGAGTTATTTATATATTTAGAATGGAAATGTCATTACCGTTAATTTTAATTTTCACATCATTATCAATCTTTTTATTTTGGAGGGTAAAAAATAATATTTAATATTATTTTACTGAGATTGTAATATATATATATATATATATATATATATATATATATATATATATATATATATATATATATATATATATATATATATATATATATATATATATATATATATATATATATACATATATTTTTTTGTTTAATATGTAAATGATACAACGGGCAGAAGACAAAAGTCTTCTGTCTGCTCCTTTAATATTTAAACTCAAGAAGAAATATTGTAAATAATTTATTATTAATATGACAAAAATGTAAAAAAAATAAATAAATGACAATAATGATGGAGTTCTTATTAAACTTTTTACATAGCTAAGCAATTTATTTATGCATAGAAGATTAGTGTCGTATGCAAAATGATAAAAAATCGAATTATTTAAAGATTAAGGCAAATGGTTAGTATGTTTTAAAAAACAATAAAGGACTTGAATAGAACCCTGTGGAACACCATACTATACAACTTTACTTGTGGATTGACCATTATTCG